AGGAAAAAAAAAATAGCCTGCGCATTACAAAGGACAGAAAAAAAGCAAAGGAGACAAAACAAAGGCTGTAAGAAGCCGAGATTCCCTGGAGTTTGTCTGGCTGTAGGGGTGACCGACTGATCTTTTCTGTTTGGTGTTGCTTTTTGTTCACGTATCTGATACAGTAAAGAGCAGCTGTAACAAGCAGCTCATTACCTTCCTGCTTCACATCATCACACAACAAAGCAGAGAGCTCAAAAAGCAAAGAATTCGGAGCAGAAATTACTTATTTGCATAGAGTCTGATACCACAGCTAAAGCACTTGGCTGGCTTTTATCGTTCCGACTGGTCCGCCTTATTTCCATCCTCATCTCTGTGATTCCAAAAGTGCCACCTCAATTAATTAGCGACACGCAAATCAATTGTTGCCTGAGGTCAAGCAGATCACGGTCTATTTATAAGACTGGACGTCCACTTAACATGATTTGTGGGCATTAACTCAAAAAGACACATTGATGAACTAAGGTTTCTACCCCCCCCCCCCCCCCCCCCCCCCCCCCCACACACACACACACACACACATCAAATGCACAACAAATAATGAGCCCGAATCAATCAATCAGCCAGCAGAGAGGTAAATAAGTGTCGTCTGCCGGTTGAAGGCAAGCATCCGTAAGCCAACAACTGAAACAGCAGATGCAAGTAGGGCAAAGGTTTACAGGAAGGCTTCTTTTTTTTACTGGCTAATTAAAGTGACCACACTGTTGTCCCATCTGCCACCGCAGATTATTGGCTGCCATGTAAGCATGCTAATGCGGCGAAGGGACCAGGTACCAGTAAACACACTCCACATGCTTGTTAGGGGACTCGTTCACATTCAGATAAGCGCTCGGGCATCGCTTTAAACAAAGATTAAGGCTCTGAAAGTGAAATCCTGTTAGCTTATTTGTGCAGAGGCGTTAGGGGAGCGGGGAGATATCTTTCGAACTTGCAGCCCGAACCCCGCGTTCCCTTTGGGAGTTGCTAAGAAGCATTGACGACGCGGGGAAATTGCAGCAATCGAGCATGATGTCAGCGCGCCACACCGCTGGAATGGCAACAGCCGAGCGAGGTAGGGCCGAACATCCCCACTTCGATGAGCGCTTTTTAAGGACATAATGGAATCTTTGTCTTCACTGCCACGCCGTTGCTTGGCAGCAGGAACGGTAGCCGCCGGATGCCCGATGAGAGCCATCTATCTGGACAACCCCTGCCATGCAGACAAATTCATCTGGCTCTGCGGGGACCTGTGCAGGACCCAATCAGGGATAAGCTTCATATATTTCCCCCCTAATAGAATTGCTGTACTTCATCTCACTCTGGCTTCAGCACATTGACTCTTGTATTGCGAGCTACTATCTCACTAATTCACTTTTAGCCTTGAGGAGCAAGTGCACTGTATCTGCACTCTTTATTATGCCGGGGAACCTGTGCAAAAACCCAATAAGTCTACGTAAAGGTCAGAAGGTGACCCCGATGGAAGACGTGGACAGGGGAAATGCCGGAAATAGAAAACTGCTTCAGGCTTAGGAAGGATAAAGCAAAATGAACTCCCTTCAGCTATCTCCAAAACAGTGTAAACTGTATAAATGTGCATCAGGAATGTGAGGAAGGCCAACATGAGTGAGAAACACCGCTGAGCTTAATTCAGAGGCATCAATGGAACATTTTAAATATGTGATAAATCTTTGGAATGGCTCTTAAATATTTTATTCCTCCCCTGGCAGCGACTCTGCCCTCGTCTGCACTATAACACTGGGACCATTAAAACGTACCGGATTTTCTCCAACCAACTTAATGAGAAGATAAGCAGTCAATGTAAAATCCCCCAGACTCTTTTTTCCCCAGCCCCGTCCTTTTGCATACTGAATGCCTATCGCCTAATTATGGCATCAACTCGGGCCCTGGCTCTTGATTTGCTGTCCCTCTCTGTCACACTTCAGCAGCTGCAAAGAGGAGGATGAGTTCATGAAATAGAGGTTACTGAAGTTATGACGAGAGCATTGTTTAAGGGCTTCACACCTTATGGGTTCCCTTTCTGCAAAGCAAAAGTAATGTATCAGACGATCTTTTTCTGACGAAGACAAGGTCAAGCGTCGCAGAGAAATGGCACTGAAGTGCTCTGATGAAATGGAAAAGCAAAGAAAAGAATGTGAGAAATAGAAAAAGTGGGAACAAGGTATCGATTTTGAAGGTTACTGAAAGATTGTGCTGATTGCAGAAAATTGCTGGCAAAAATCTATTGCTTTCACTAAAAGGGATAGTTACTGGTTTCTGGACGCTTCAGGGAAAAAATGCTCCAGGCTGCTGTACATGCCACTGATATCTCCTTAAAGAGAAACAGTTTGATAAAAAATGTCCAAGTTTGCTTTATTAGATTTACTCTGATCACTTGGATCACCCATTACTGCAGCTTACTGTGAAGTTTTAAGAAATTGGAGCAAAGGGTTAAACTCAGTACCCAGGCAAAGGCTTAGTACAGTGATGGTGGCTGTGGCTCCTCTAGTCCACATGCCAAAATATCCTTCGACAAGATACTGAACCCCCGAGCTGTTGGGTTAAAAGTGCACAGGTATAGAAAAGGGTACTTGTTTGAATGACGTTTGTAGTAAGGAAGCGCTTTGAGTGCTCAAATAGAGTAGAAAAGCACTACTAACTCAAAAGCTGCATTGGGACAGATTGGAATCTTCACCGTGCCAATTTTGGCCTAACCTGGCTCCGTTTTTTTGCTGCCTCTGCAAGCTGCTTTGCAACCCACCTCAATCCCAGCTCACCCTTTTCATTGCATGTCTGACCCAGTCGTGTTTGTTGGTTGTCTGCTGGGTGATAGCATTGATCAGAATAGAAATCAGGAACTGGCTGTATTGTTCCATACAACTATACTCAGTATTGTCTGCAATATCTTTTTAACCCTATGACCATGATTCTCAGCTAGAAAAGGGTGGAATGCCCACTTTGGGTCTGGAAGGAGTTGTTGTCAAGGGTGGATGAGTTTAAGTATCTTAGACAGTACAGCTGCTACTCCTCCACATCGAAAGGAGCCAGGGGAGGTCATTCAGGTATCTGACTAGGAAATCAGTATTTTTCCCCCTGAATTCGCTGAATGTCACTGTGAATGCTTTCTGTGTGGACATAGCTTTCAATACTTTTAAATGCACTTTTATAAAGAATATGGGAGTTGAGATTCTTCACTCTTGCACATCTATCGTTTTTTCTTAGCATTGGGTCCAAAAGTCCAGTTTTATTAAGCCTCTGGTAAAGACATATTTTAGAAGACAGAAAAGTCTAGCATGGCTCATTTTTCCTTCGTGAATGAAAAGTTAAAAAAATAAAAAAAGTGAACACAGGTGCCCTTTTCCAGGGCAACAGAGTTCAAACCAGAGAGGAAAAAACATCCAGGGGTCTCTGAGTCCAGACTCTGACTCCGAGCTACAGACTTTGAGTAAAATCTACTCAAACTCCTGTCATAACTTTTACAGCAAAGAGACAATAATTACTCGATGACCAGATGCTTTGGCCTTTTCAAATGAAAGAAGGACAACAAGTAATGCAAGGGACTCGAAATAAGTCAAACCTCTGAAGGATTAAGCGCATTTCTTCACTGATTACAATTTCTTGCAGATGGCTTGTGATGACCTGCAGTTTAGTGAAAGGAAAGCGTGTGAGGTCATCTCTTTAAAACCTTTTATTACCCAAGGATTATTCATCTAGCGTGGTGTCCGACACATCCATAAAGTCTCAAATAAGAACAGAAAATAAATGGAAAAGCAGTTCAAGGATTTATGTGTGGGTGGTTGCCCTTAAATGGGGTTAAGAAGTAAAATTTTTCTTCTTTAAAATGTTACAGATACTGTGCCGTGAAAAAGTATCTGCCTCCTTCCTGATTTCTGAGGGTTTTTTTGCAAATTTGTCACACTTTCATGTTTCAGATAACAAAGCAAATTTGAATATTAAACAAAGAAATGGATAAGGGACAACAGTTATCCAAACCTACTTGTTAATGCCCATAAACTTAAAAAGTAGTTGTTCCGCCCTTCGCAGCAAGAACTGCAATCGAGCTTCAGTGATAAGTGCAGGTGAATCTTTCACATCATTGCAGATGAATTTTGGTCCAGTCTTATGAAATGCTGTTAGTTTTATGTCAGATGTAAAAGGACCCAAACCTTCCACAAAGTTCAGCTTTTGTCTCGTCAGTCCACAGAATATTTTCTTCTTTTCAAGATGTTTTTGGTAAATGTGAAATGTGAACTTTGACCTTAACCGAGGTCAAAGTTCAAAGTGAGGCCTGTGGTTCTTTAATGTTGTTCTGGTGCAGTAATTTTGGTAGGCTGGTCACTCGCCACTGATACAAGTTTTCTCCATGTGTGTATAATGGCTCTCACTGTGGTTCATTGGAGTTACAAAACCTTAGAAATGGCTTTCTAACCCTTTCCACTGACACATGTCAGTGCCTTTGTTTCTCAGCTCTTTAGATCGTGGCCTGATGTGTTGCTGTTTGAGGTCTTTTAACCTGCTTCACTTTCTCAGACAGGTTCTATTTAAGTGGTTTCTGGATTCAACAGGGCTGCCAGTAACCAAGCCTGAGTGAGTCTTATGAAACTGAACTCAGCTTTCTAACAAATGTGGTTAATCATCAAAGAAAAACTGAATTTTGTACTTACTCAGGGTAAAACAACTAGACAAACAACAAAGAAATGAGGTGGGGGGCAAATACTTTTTCACAGCACTGCATAAAAAGGAGATCAAATCACTCAAGTGAAACACAATCATTTTATAGACCCTCGTACTTTTCATCACCTCCCACACAGGGTTACAGAGGGCTGAATACAATATTTGCTGATGCTGAATAAACAGGATCAGTATCATAGCAACTTTGTAATTCGTCCTCTATTTGTTTTTATTTATTCCTTTTGTTCAAACGTAATGAGTGAGGGCTGAAAAATGGGATTTAAAGCCCGCTCTGTGCTCCTGGGTTCTTTTACCTGGAGAATTGCAGCTGCAGTGAAACCACCTGCGCCTGACCCAGCTCGGACTCCTCCGTCACTTCCCGGAGACGCTTCTCGCTCTCCAGTCGCAGGCGTCGCTCTTCCTCTAGCTCGTGGATCAGCTTTTCTCGCTGTGGGAAAGAGCAGAAGGACGATCAACTCTCAGGCAGTGTGTGGCCTGGGGCTAAAAAGATCACCCTCAAGTCACATGCCACAATTTTTACGACCCCCTTCCCCGAATATTCGACCCTCCTCGGATGAGGGCAAGCAAACACAGGCTGTCTCAGCATCATAATCACCAAAACATCTGCTCACCAAACATCTGAAACCAAACACAGCTTGTCCTAGCTGAAAAAAAACAATCCACGCCTCGCCGCTTTTTCCCCTGACTTTAGGTGTGAGAGGAAATAAAAGAATAAGGGCATGATGACATTTAGGCCGCCTCGATTGGCATTACTTCCAGTAGTTTGTTGTTACTTTGAAACACTCATAATGAGCCTCCGCTTCTTTCTGTCTCTATGAGAGAAAGTTCACACTAAATGTCATCTGAAATCACTGAGCCCGCCCTCCCGTGCCTCAGTCTTTCTCCTGCTTTTCATTTCATTTCAGATCTATTCAGAAAATGCTCCCCGATATCACTGAAGCTATGAATAGCATGTTTACCCTGCTCCTCTCTTCCTCACACCATGCAAACCGTCCTCTCTTCTTCTGCGTGTTTCACCTTTTTTTCCCCCCTTTACGTTATAGTTATGATGATGAGTAAACATGACCTCATTCGACCCAACTATTGATAGATCCTGAATTAAAAAGCTGGAGTTCCTCGGTAAGAGGAGGGAGGGATCACTTATGCCTACTTATCTCTGCTTTCCATTCCTTGATTTCAGAGCTTTATAAATGTTGCTTGTGGTGTATATGGTCTCCATGAAGCATTTAGCCAGTTTTCTCTGGTCTTTTCCAATTCTTTAATTGGATTCTTCATTTCTGAAGGATTCTGTCTTTGGATCCCAAAAGAGAAAGACATCCTTGCCTCAAACCCAACTTCAAAGACTAAGGTCCCTGTGGTGGCACACTCCCTACTCCAGTTTTCTTGACAAAGTTGCAAAAAAAGCTTTAAGCAAATTCCTAGCAGCAAGGCGGAGGATTTTTTTTTTAGCTGACGGAGCAAATAAGACGGGATCATTCTCTTGGTCTGGCAGTTTCTATTGTACATAAAGCCAAGCATCTGTCGCTGCTGCTGACAGTCTATGACAAAGCCACTGGCTTCCATTTCCGTAGATTTGGGTGATCTACCAACTGTCAAAGCCTTGCCAGGAATATCAGCTAAAAATACAAGATTGTAAAATATCTGCAAATGGGTCTGAGGCCAAAGACACACACTAGAAAGAAAAAGGGAGACAGTTTCTTCTTTTGCAAACAAAGATGCAGTGTTTGGTGAATAAGAGATTCAACTTTGGCTTAACAAGGGTTGATTAGAGATGATTATCATCCTTTTATTTCCACCTAGGAGTACAAGTACCCAGGGAGGTGGTGAAAAACGTATATGTGGATATACAGTGCAAAAGTCTCGACTCACTTCTGATTTCTTTTCTTTGGCTAGGAAAATGGGACACTGTTCAAATGAACAGATACTGACACTTCTTTTGTCCGGTTTCCTCAAACCTTTTAAGGACACCCTGCACACCATTGTGAGATATGTTACATTTTCAGCCAATATCTCTTTGGGAATCACCTTGCTGGTGCAAAAGTACTATTTTATCTCTGTCAAACTGTGGTATCTTTGACATCTTTCACAGATTGTTACTAGCAGCCCGTCACAAAAACGCACAGAGGGCCTAAAGACACATCTTATAATTGGGTATTTGCAAAGTTCTCTGTTATGCATAGTCACAAGAATAGTTAATCCCCTGAGTTAAGTTTCTTTTTTGTGCTTAAATGACTCATAGGTCTGTGTAAGTGGCTCAACAAACAAATAAAACATTCCTCTGAAAATGGTCAGTTACAAGGACTGGACTGAAAATGAGCAATAAAGGAGTCAACGTGCAAAAAAAGCTTCAGGAAGCCTAAAGAACTATTCACCCAGAGCACTTTAAACATTACCACAAAGTCTGGCTCTGTGGAAGAAAACATCTGAAGTGAATGCATTAGTATTTTAAACAGAGACTACTGTACATAAGTGAATAAAAGTTTTAAATAACCTTTTAAATAACAGCCTTCACTGTACTCTACAGTATATCTATGGAAACACATCTGTTACCTTGGGAATTCTCCTGCACCTCTCCTGACAGATTCCTTTAAACATCTGAAGTTTTGAAAGCTCTTTGCTGTAAAAGTAAGTCTCTGGATAATCCTCTGGATAAAACATTTGAACTTTATATAAGAGTTCAATGAGAATCAGTTCAGTTGTTTACAGATGTGTACTGGCTACTATTTAACATGAATCTAAATGTGATTGGTTAACTCTAAACAGAGGGTGTGCACACATGCTTAAATATTCTAGTTGTTTTGGAGTCAATCAGAGTTTAAGAGCCAATGGAAAATGTTGGGAATCACCAGATTATCCTGTCAGTTCTTCATCAGTTCTCTTCAGTGCAAATGGAATTACTTACTGCCCATCCTCATCGTCAGCACCAGTCATGATGTGGTATTACTCAGTGCATGCCTGCAAAGAAGCTGGAGTGCTTTCTCTCAGACAAGCATTATGGGGACATCTTGTGGCGTGAAAGAATATAGGTCAGAGACAGTGAGCGTGTCACTCTGTGTGGCATATGGACAAAACATCCTCCTCGACATGAGGCCCTCCTTTATGCCGGGTCTCTCGTGAAAAACCATGAAACCAAACTGGAAAGAAAAACATCGAAACAACTATAATGTGACACCGAGTCGCATTGCTCCATTACTCCGTATGACCATACTCTCCTTATAAACTGTCTTGTGTCACTACATTGTTACTTCTGTTACAAAAGCAGATCCTAACTGGGTGATTCAGCTGCTGAGGGGGAATATTAAACCAAAGTCACCATTAAAACCAGTCCCCGTCTTCACCGCGGCAGTAAATTCACAGCTACTATGTGCAGCGGGGAGGCTCTCCCTGTCAGGAGTAATGGCTGCTGTAAATCCACTCATACAAGAACGTAAAGTAGTGCATCCCCCTGCCAGGAGCTGGACGTATATATATATATATATATATATATATATGACTTTTCTGGTTCTTCTTTCTTTATGACACATAAAGTTGTTTTATGTTTTATAGGACACATTTTCCACTTAGCGTTTAAGGAAACGGGCGCCGATTTCAGCCTCCAGCGTCGCAGCAGTTTAGCTGAATTTCACCTCGATGCAAATGAGCACAAAGGCCTTTTATTTGCATCAACATGCATGGCTTTGTTCAGCAAAACAAAACAAAAAAAGCACAGTAGCAGCTTTGGTCCTGATTTTTTTGTTGCCCACACAGGCCTCCAGGCATAAACCACCGACCGCTACGTGTCTGCTGACAGTCTTGCCAACAACCTCAATAACAACACAGGATTTACAGTCTCTACATTGTAGTAAAAGCCCTGCGTTGCTTTTGTTCAATATATAATTTCTGCAATTTTACAAGGCCTGAGGACATTAAATCAAACATTGCTGTATCTTTCTGTGGCCAGAAATCCCCGGCAATACATTTCTCCTCGATTGAAATGTTTATTGTCTGCAGCAACTTCTCTCTTTTTTTTTTTTCCTCCTTTGGTGCTCTAATTGAAAGCATATTCTTTAATAAGCCTTAACTGCAGCCACAAAGACAACACTTCTTTAGAAAAAGCCCTGGGAAGAGATCTCAAAGTCAACACCGAGAGGATGAAAACACGCCTGGCAACTTTCTGTGAGAACATTTATTTTAGTTAATCCGGCCGCTGAGGAGATAATCCCCGCTCTCTTGACAGCCTGTCACTGTTGTATGGATGGGATGAGGCGAGGTGTCCTGCCTTCTTTGTCCTGCAGGGGGCAACATGCTCCTGTTCTATTAAACAATGCAGCGCATAGAAAAAAAAGGAGAAAGAAGCCAATGTCAAATGAAATATGGGGTGTAATCTATAAAATAGCTCCTGCTGGATTTTTATACCACATATATCAGAAACAAGCCCAGATTTGGGCATCAGGGGGTGGGGGGTGAGGGGTGAGGGGGTTTGAGGATTAAATTTGACCTCTGCCACAGAGAGATAAATAAAGAAATATATCCATCTGTATGTGACAGAATTTATCACCATCAACACGCAAAGCCTGAGAAATAAATGAAGAATCTGTTACACCGAGCGGCTTTGGAACATAAGATTTTATTAGCTGCACTCGAGCCCAAAATGAAGCCTCCCGCTTCGGTAATTGGACAACATTAGATGGTAATGGTATTCATCCGAGCTGAATTACTAGAATACTCGGAGCCCCCCTTTCATACCCTCTAAGATTCACTGAGGACTCTAAATTAATTAGAGGCCTCTGCCTCTCCTTGTTGTGCTGTGCTGCGACCTTATCAGGTTAAGTGCATGTGTGTGTGTCCCATCGTGTTGTAGGATGTCCATCTGCAACTGTATATACACTGTACTCGTTCAGGGTTAGGGGGTACAGGCCCAATAATCTCTTCATTACACAGGACATCCCCCCCCTTGCCTCGGTTGGAGCTCTTTGCCTAATCAAAGGGGCCGGGAGCGGCTCGGAGGCTCGCTGGCAAAGCAAACATCGGGGACACAAAGCACTGTGCAGGTTCTCCATTCATTAATAAAACATGCCACCGGGCTGTTTGTGTGCATCAGCGAGGCTGGATTCAAATGAAAGTGTAACACGAGGAGGATCGGGCCTCCTGGCCTGCCTGGCTGGCTCCCAGATACAAGTCGTAAAGATAAAAATTATAATTATGCTCTTGTTTGTTTAGAAACAGAAGAGAAAGCATCAAAGTGCAGGAGTGTGTGTTTTCTGATTACTTGTGACTAAAGTGAGCCCAAACAGTGTTTTATCACCCCACCCCACCCCACACCAAAAGACTCCATCAATTCAATTATCATGGAGCGCCACTATTGGAGTGTACCACTGCTCTCTTAGACAGCCACGGGCACTGTGGCAAATAATACACACACCCCAGGAATATGCAAAATCATACGAG